AAGTGGAAGGTAAGAACCAAGCTCGTCTAAACTACTGAGCGTCATTATCTGTTTTCCGCACTTCTTCAGCATTTCGGAAGCATAAGTCTGCCAAATCGACTTGCATGGACTGAAAATAGGTGGTCATCCGAAGGAGCTAGATTCGGGGAGTATCGGGCTGAGCAAGCTGATTCCATCCGAGATCTGCAATTTTTTATGAACATTTTTTGTGACATGAGGCCTGGCATTGTCACGGTGGAACAGCACCATATGTTGTTTTCTTGCTATTAACGGCCGCTTTTTGCGAAAGGCATCCGAAAAATTGTCAAGTTGGTGGTCGTAGCGGTGAGCAGAAAGTAGTTTAGTTTATGATCAGTAGCTTATAATGCAAAATACCCTGTTGATCCCACCAAATACGCAGCATCACTTTTTGGCAGTGGATGTTCCGCTTTCGCTGCAAGCCCGTTGGTTGGCCTGGATCCACATGCTGCTTTCCATTTCGTATTATCGTAGTAGATCCAATTTTCACCCCCTGTTGCAATCCGGTAGAGAAGATCCGTCTTTTGTGGTCTTCGAGGTTTTCCTGCAAGCCTCTTGCTTCGAGCTGCTTTTCTGACAGCTGGTGAGAGAGTCGTTTTCCTAGCTTCCATACCTTTCCCACTGCACGCAAGCATCTCAGAATAGTGGCACGGTTGACGTTCAACTCCATTGTCGGCTCTATTTTTTCTGAGCTAGGTTTTCATATAACAATGCTCGCAACGGCGAATTCTCAAACTTTTCCGGCTGATCTAGACGTTCCCTGTCTTTCAAGTCGAATTCCCCGCATGTGACTCTTTGAAACCGTTTTCTGCCAGTTCGCTAATATACAGCTTGTTTTCCGTAAGTGTAGAAAATGGAAAAAGGTGGATTGTCAAAAAAGCGAAGAGCAAATGCATGAGATATGTATATCCGGAATCAGACATAGCTCATACCAGGGTTAAGTGGTTCATAATAAAGCTCAACCTCTCAGCAGGCATTATGAATAACGTACTCTAACGCAAACGCCGTGACGCGGCCGATTGGCAAGATTGTACGATCTTGGTGTCTAAGTTGTTCTGAGATCAGAGGGTTCAAATCAGTCGAGGTGACGCAAAACACACCGCAATATTGATCGTCGCGACCATGAGTGATCACGCTTCACCTTCTCGGCAGAGCTTCAGTCATAGAAAGTGAGACAGTGGAGGTCAGAGCGGGATTTAAGATATTTCAGTTCGGTCTAATTTATTTTCTGAACTTTCCCGTAATTGGTGTCACGAGGTTTGGTTGAGAGGCTGAGTGCGACATTGGCTCAAAATACTGAGTCAAAGGCACAGTCCATGATAAACTTTAAGTTTTTCAGATTATGGCGAAAAATGAAAGAGAAGGTGACGTGTAATGCGAAGGAGGCGAAGGAAGCACGCAAATCGGTGTTCCCAAATTTGTAAACGGCTTCTAATAAAAATAAAACAAATAAAAGAAAGAATAAAAGTCATAAAAATAAAAGAGAATAAAAGTCGTTAAAAAGGGTCTGGACTAGAATAAGACCAGGGCAATAAAGTAAAGGGGGTATTCGGAGAGACAGTGCGTGTTATTGCGTACGTGTGAGTCCCGGTATGAATAGTTGACTACAGTGAGCGAAAATATTCTTCAACATTTATCCACTCATAAGCGGCATAGGTTATCAAAACCACTAATAACAGCAAAAATAACCCACTTTTTCAATCCTCTCAAGGTAGAAAACAAGATATGCGCCCACAAAAAGTAGCATGGAATCACATAGTAAGAGTTAGAAATCACCTCACCAACCGGCGATCAGCTGATTGCATCATGAGCGTGTGGGTCCTGGTGCGAATAGTACAAGCTGTATCGCTTAGGCACTCGTCTGACATAACATCTTTCGGTGGGTGTTTCTGTAACTTTACAGAAGATATTGATTTGCATAGGAATTTTACTTGTCCATGAACATTAGTCAGCATCATATAACTGTCTCATGATCTTAGTCACATCTCGATTTTCTCGGAAATTAGCCAAAATATATTATTTTGTCATTTATTCTGAACCAGGCGGCTACGCACGCTATTGCGTGCGCTGGGGGCTTAGCCATAAAGGACGGAGCCACATGAGCTTCTGATTTTCATTATAAACCTTTGTCATTTGAGCCTCTTCCCTAACACTTCCGTAGCGGCCATCATTCTTTATGGGGGGTGTGTGTGGCCATGAAGAGTACTCTGATGTATCTAAATCCTGCAGTAATATTAGGTTGTAAGGAAAGTTCTGGCCGTTCCCACGTATGTGCCATATGAATTAAAATTTTGGCGGATGTTCATTCAGGTTAACGGTCATATTGTGCTCCTTAGGCAAGTCAGTAGTTGCTCTTTCTGTCATAGCGCTTTCCCCAGAATCTGTAAGGTTTTGGAATTTTTAGGAGGTTTCTCTTGGCAGAATAGATAAGACTACTTTTTGAATGGTTTTACTTCACGAGTTCGAACTTGGTCGAACTGCGATGGAGGCAGCTACAAACATCAATGTTACATGGGGAGAAGGCACTGCGGCGGAGCGAACGGTTTGTCGCTGGTTTCAGAAGTGTCGAAGTGGAGACGAGTCACTGAAAGACGAAGAGCGAGTTAGTCGACC